TGTTGAATTCGAGAGAATCTCAGCACAGCAGCCATCATCAACTAGTGAAAAACCCGTTGCTGTAACTGTTCAATACCAGCAAAAGTCTGATAACTATCTCGAATTTGATTTCTTTTGAACTTGTTTTTTTCTTCGTTTCTTCTTTCTTGTAAAAGTCGATTATCTTATTTTTCGTTAGTAAAACATACGAAGTTGTACAACATTTTGAAGATGTGAAATCAAGATGATCATATATTTGTTTGTTGTTGTAAGTTATTAAACAGTTGCACAGTTTGCTGTATGGCAAATGTTGTAAGTGTTGATGCTACCAATTGATAATGTGAATTTAGCAGTTCTTGTTTACATTCTTTTTAACCCTTTTGATAACTGAGAAGTCCCTGATGACACGTCCTTCTATTCTTCTCTACTTAAATATTGTACTTCTATTTGAACTTGTGATGTGTATCCAAGTTCATATTTTATGTCTCCTTCTCCGAGACGAACATATTGTATTAACTAGAACAAGTTATTAAGTAAGATGTCAAGATAATCGTAAGTAAATAACTTATCCTTCTCGACTTAAATATTATACTTTTATTTGAACAAGTGACATGCATCCAAGTTCATATTTTGTATCTCCTTCTTTGGGACAAACATATAGTGTTAACTAGAACAAGTCATATGAAGTTAGATGTCAAGATAATCGTATGTAACTAACTTACCGAGGCTAGAAGCTCACCAGTCGAAGCTCAATGAATAATGGGCTTGTTCCATATACTCGTCTTCACTTAATTCTAAGTTTTATATTATACGAAAATTAATAGGCTTGTTCCATCTACTCGTCTTCACTTATATTCTAAGTTTTATATCATACAAAAATAAAAATTGTAAGTTTTATTTTATACAAAAATAAATTTTCATATTATACACAAAAAAAAAAAATAGAAAAAAGTTATGCGGTGAACGTGGATCGAACACGTGACCTTCAGATCTTCAGTCTGACGCTCTCCCAACTGAGCTATCCCCGCTATGTTTTCAATATCATATATTTAATTTTATACATGTTTCTAATAACATAATTAAGTGTTTGTTTGGCAGTAAGAAAAACTAATCACTAAATTTGATTGGTAATATTAAATTAACTGTATTAAGTATGGAAGAATTTATATATTTTAATATTATACTTTGGTGTTGAATATATATACGGCGCAGAACTAGGTAGAGCCGAAGAGTTCATCCAAATCTCTCCTGGACAGAAAGTTACACTAGGTACTGTTTACTATACCAAGGTCAGGATGTTAGCAAATGTAAAAATAAATAATAAAATATGATCAACCTTAGAATTTAATTTAATAATTTTCGATCTAATAATAAATATTTTTATTTTTTCAATTTTAATTGTATGAAGTTTATGATTCATGCAAAAGAGAGTGACCCTTTATGATAAAGAAAATATCAACCAGACATTCTTGTGAAATAAATATATTCTAATGCAAATGAAAAATGTACCTCTTAGTAAAGAATTAATGCATGTATGTAATATATATATCATGAGATAGGAACCATATTGTACCAATCGTGCAAAAACCTTATAAATTTACTATATAGTATATAGCCCAAAATATAATAAACCCAAATTGTTAATTATAACATACTACTAATTTGTATAAAGGGGTTAAAAATAATTATTAAAATATTATACTTTAGGTATCTAAACCCATGATTCAAGTAATTGTTTTAACCTCATTATAATTATGTCAAGGAAATTCAATAACTTATATATATGATAAAAAATAAAAAAAGATTCATTTTTACTCTATTTGACAATATATATAGTTTTTCATGAATGTTTCAGCATGTTAAAATAATTTTTTTTGATGTTAGCAGTGAAAGAAAGAACTCAATACTCATTTCTTCATGAATATTCATAGTTAAATTGATTGAAAGAGTAAACTCATTTCCTTCCCCCTAGCTTCGCCTTGTTCCAAAAATATTTATTAGAATTTCTTTATTTCGTTGTAATTGATTCGGGATGTATGAAGGTTAAACGCAAAGAGCTTCTTCAATAGCCAAGTCGAGTAGTGAAGCACAATAGGTTAAAGTCAAAGACAAGACAAGTCCTACTCTCAAGCAAAAGGCTATCCCCGACATTATTTTTCGATGATGTCCCCCGAGAAAAAGGAGCTGAAAGCCACCTTTGGTCGAACCTAACGACTTTTTTCTAAATTATTAATTTAAACCTCAATAACTAAAAAAAAATGCTAAAATCTAAAACCATGAATTTTAAATTCTGAATCTATTTCTGACGCTACGAGTAGTCAACCCCATGCATGTGCACACACAAACACATAGTAAGAAAGAGAGTTGACCAGGTGTCTTGTGGGTGAGCTACCTGCCAATGTCTCACACGCTCAACATAGTTGAATTATTTAATCATGTCATGCACCTTTGATGCTTTATTTGATAACCCCCCCTTCACATAACATTAACACACTATATATACATTTCTACTATATTTATTTTATAAAAAAAAACATTAAGTTAAAAAACAAACAAAAGTTCAACTTATTCATCTTTTCATCACTTATCATTAGAAAAAAAAATTATTTACAATTTTTGAGATATGGGAAGAATTCCATGTTGTGAAAAGGACAATGTTAAGAAAGGGCAATGGACTCCTGAGGAAGATCACAAACTTTCATCTTACATTGCTCAACATGGAACTCGTAATTGGCGTCTCATTCCTAAACATGCTGGTTTGTTTCATTATCTGATGTTCGATATCTGTTTTGTTTCTCCACTAATATAGTTTCGCGCTAAAATGTAAAAATATTATTTACCAAAGGTGATTCTATTCACAAAACTTCTTATAAAGGACATACACGCTCTATCACAAATGTCCTTTTATTGTCTCTCATTAGTCCTTTTTTTCTTCGGTGTCCAATATCTAGTCTGATCTGGATTTGCATCAGAAAGTCTCAATTTTGAGGCTGCTACCAAAATCGATATAAATAGAGAAATCAGGAATTTCGTTAAAGATATTCAAGATATAAAATATACATACAAAAAAAAGTAATTTTGACTTATATGCATACACACAATATAATAATTTTTAATGAAGAAGTATTTACTATTCCGCGCTCTATCATATTGTCTTATTAATATATGGCTAAAAAATTGTCTCTTATTTTAAACAGGTTTACAGAGATGTGGAAAAAGTTGTAGATTGAGATGGACAAATTACCTTAGGCCTGATCTCAAACATGGCCAATTTTCAGAGGGAGAAGAGCAGACCATTGTCACACTTCACTCTGTTCTTGGCAATAGGTAAAAATTTAAAATTTTAGCTTATGGTTTTACCTTGCATTTCTACGAGAAGTTATTTTCATATTACGCCATTGATCATGGAATTTCAATTGTTTGTTAGATATTTTGTCTCCACCACTGATTGTAATTGATTGGTTAGATATCAAAGAGCTATTGACCTTTCCAATTACCCATTTTTCAAAAAAAAAATCTAATTTACCTTTGTGCCTTCCATTATTAGTAGCATTACTATGTTGCTCAGACTCTCTGAGAATATTGTAGCATGCCAAATATTCCTAAGTACTATTTTTGGATGATTAGACACACCCTCATCAATATTTTTTGAAGAATTCAAGCAACATAGAACAAAAGAAGTTGTAGAAACTTATATTAATTGATCACTAAGTATGATTTACGCGTAATCGAACAGATGGTCTGTGATAGCTGCTCAACTTCCTGGTAGAACAGACAATGATGTGAAGAACCATTGGAACACAAAACTCAAAAAGAAACTATCTGGTATGGGAATTGATCCAATAACACACAAGCCAATTTCTCACTTAATAAGTGAAATTGCAACAACATTATGTCCACCACAAGTCCCTCATTTGGCTGAAGCAGCACTTGGTTGTTTCAAAGATGAAATGCTTCATCTTTTGACCAAAAAAAGAATTGGTTTTCAGTTTCATCAACAATTTACAAATATGACAAGTACTCATAATAATGCACCAAGTACAAGTCATGTTAAGCATGAGGAGAATAATAATTATAAAGATAACACAATTGAGAAAATCAAGTATGGATTATCAAGAGCTATTAAAGAAAGTGATAAGAATTGGGAAACAAGTGTAGGAGGAGCAACATCTAGTAATTTTCATGATAATACAGGATTTAGTAAGTATAATTTTGCTAATTTGCTTAATGATGAAGATGGTTCACCATGGAACCAAAGTTTGTGTAGTGGAAGTACATGCACAGCAGGAGGAGGAGAATTACAACAACAACAACAAAACAAGAAAATTAGCAATGATAATTGTGAGGATAGTGGTAAAGAAATAGTAGTAACAACAAGAAATGGATCAACAACTATGTTCAATTCTGACTGTGTTCTGTGGGACATATCATCTGATGATCTAATGAATCCAATGGTTTGAAGAGTTTTGTTGTAATAAGGTGGGTGGATAGAGTTGCTCGGTACTTGTGTCAGTGGGAGATAGCAGATATTCCGTGGAATTAGTCAAGGAGCGCGCAAGCTGACCTGGACATCACGGTTATTAAAAATATATATATATTGTAATAGTGTACTTGAATTAGTAGGCTAGCTAGAAAGGCAAGGATGTTATAAATCATTAAAAGAAATGAAGTAATAAAGAGAGAATCGTATCTGTTTCATTTTATATGACATTCTTTCCTTTTGAAGACGTTCAGAAAAGAAAGTCATCTTTTCGTATTGACTATATATTTAACACTTCAATTCACATAAATGTGCATCTTTGGTTTCTCTATTAACAAGTTTGTGAAAACTTGTTAATTGGAGAAACCAAAGTGTACAGTATTTCATCAATCGAAGGTTAGATGTACTTCAACAGATATATAGACATCAAAATTGGAACGTTAATCACAAATATTTCCTTCCTGTGAAGACAACAGTTTTCTTTCCTAGATCCTGAAAGGATCTCACTGATCAAACGAGGCGCGAGGATTACACAAATCTATGAAATCACAACTCAAAATCCATAAACTTATAACTTTAATGGTACAAAATGGTTAAATGGAAGTTAATGTTGCTTCACTGCAACACATATATCTAGCACTATTCGCATACTAGAAGGAAGTAGAGAAACTTCATTTACACGAGTGATCATCATAAGATGTATCAACACACCCCGGTGTTACAACTTGTTTATTACTGAAGGCAAGGGAACTTATGTTCGTGGTCATTGTGAAGTTTTCGTTCTTGCTCTTCATATAGTTAAAGTTTTGTGAGAAATCTTACTCTTCTCCCTCTTCATCCTCGTTGTCCTCGATTCCCACCCAATGAGTAAAGGCAAAAAGGAACTCTTTGAAGTTCACCATTCCATTTTTGTCCCAGTCCATTTCTTCTGCAAAACAGAAAGATGGGGGGCTTTACAGACTGCAATATATGAGTGAGGAAATGCATGGAGTATTACCTAAACTCTTCCGACTAAATATGATAAAGCCTATAAAACATAGAACTACTATTATTTCTTCATTATACATTAAAATCTTCTTGAACTTGATGGACAAATAGATAAAATAGTAGCTAAAACAAATTAGTTATTAAGTCAATAGACTATAGATTAATAGTGTCCTCATCATGTCCTTCGAGCACAAATATCGTCCAAATCAGATTGGCGAGCAATGCACAAGAACAGATGGGATTGGTTCTGCATTTCGAGCATCTCTTTGTGACAAAGACTTGAACAAGTTCTCTTTGATAACAAGTTTAGTAATTAGTCCGCTGAAAAGAAATATGTCAATCGCATCATACTTGTCTTTCTACCATAAAGATTGCTTCACTTATAATTCTGGAGCACTCGGTACATCTTCCTAAATTATGACATATTGTACATAAGATAAAGCAGACTCTGCATTTTCTAGTATGAAATTAAACAAGCAATGCATAGCGGCTAGAACTCTTTGAAAACTTAGTCTTCAGCAGAAAAACAGATATTTTTCTCATTGCTCTTCGACACACACACACACAAAGAGAAAGAGAGAGAGAACTTACCAAATCTTCTCATTGCTATTCGACCAGAAGACCTTTCTCCAGATATAGTTTCATTAATTGCTTGAACCATCTCATTCCTGCTTACATAGCCATCCTTGTTCTTGTCCAAAAACACAAAAGCATCAACAAGTGTTTCAAATGTTACCTCCAGATTTGGTAGTCCCATTCGCGATTTCTGTATCTGGTCAAGAAATAAAAAACTTTGCTTGTGCAGGGCTGGGGGTGGGGATCTAACCGATACGTTAATGTAGTTCTTCATGAAGGGCTACAGAATGCTAAGAAGATGGAATGCATCTCCAGGAGAACAAGTAAGCAGATAATTGCACGTACTCTCCAAAAGTGTGGCCGTATTGAGGTTGGATCCTTCAAAAATGAACTACTTTTGGAGGATCTAACACATACTCAACGACATTTTTGGAGAGTCCGAGCAACATAACAAAGAACGAATCTTTGAAAAGCACCATCTCACTTGAAAGTAATCAACTAATGACGCTTTCTGAAAAAAAAAATGTTTTTTTCTTAATATTTCTGAAAAACCATTAGTTAAAAAGAAAAACTGTGAGCTGGATACAGCATGCAGAGCAGAAGGATCATCCTTCAGAAGATAGACAAGACAAAGAAGAACGATGAATTCGCTGAACTCTATTCCCATATCTTCGTTAATATCACAGGCTTCAAATAGATCGCTGATTTCTTCATCAGTAAAATTAATCTCAAGCTTATTGAAAGCGTGTTTCAACTCCTGCGGGTCTATTGCTCCGTTGCTGTCTTCATCTACAAACAAAACAGAATTCTTCTCATTCTTTTTCCTTTAAACAAGAAAGGGAATTGTAAATATAAAAAGCAGTTTGTGAAGAAATCAGAGTTCAGCCTAGAATGTGCTTATATGCAAGTAAACGTTACCAAAATGATACAAATAAAAACTGGACAAAGGATGTGCCGCCAACATACCAAATTCCTGGAATATAACTTTGCATTTTCGCAGGTTCTCATCGATTTTGGGAAATTTTAGGACTAAGCTATCAAATGATCTTATGGAACTTCCTTCAGTTTCTCTCCGCAACATCGCTTCAGTTATTTTGGCCTCGAGCTTAGTCTCTGGGACAGAAGCCTTTGGACTAGAGGGAGATTCATTCTTACCCAATACACCTCCCATTATAAGTCGAAAGTGGGAGAGCTGAACTTCTGCTCCAATTTGCTGCAATCTGTAAAGTAAGGTTATTTGAGGCCTTGTAGTTGTTAGAATTAAACAAATACGGCAGGCAGATGCAAGTAGCATTTCTCCTACTAGCATATCATGTAAACACTTCATATAGTTGATATCTAGATTTCAGCAAACATTTGGCATGCCAACTGTTAAAGTTGAGCAAGCAAAGTGACACAAATAACCAAAAACCACTTATACTGTTGAGCCCATCTGTCATGATGATGCGTATCGTGTTATACTAGGCTGTTTTCAACGGCCAGATTCGAACTCATGGCAATGAATATCGATTTATACAGAAATCTTGATAAGTTAAACCAGGGAACTGCATATTATTTTCAACTCTAATGAAAAAGCCACATACATCAATCATAAATATTGATGGTTTATTACAGCAGAAGAGACAACAAAACTATGTTGGAAAATATAAGTTCCAAGGTTCAATTCATATTATATGGCCCTTTTCATTTGATGAGACTGAATAAAAATTGTATCGAAATACCGATATCATATTAGTAGTTAGAATCAAACAAATATAGCACACAGATTCAAGTAGCATTATGGCTACAAGCATAAAATCATATAACCACTTTATTCACATAGCTGATCCAAACTACTTTGAATTGAGATATAATAGATTCATTAATTGATATTATATATATATACATGTCAGCAAACATTTGCTATGCCAACTGTAACTGTGACCTATGACACAAATAACCAACAACAACATACCCAATATAATCTCACAAGCGGGATCTAGGGAGGCCGGTAGGATGTACGCATACCTTACCTAGTATATAATCCCACAAATGTGGTAGCAACAAATAACCGAAAACAATTTACGCAGAAATCTTGATAAGTTAAACCAGGAGATTGTATATTACTTTCAGCTCATACAAATGACAGTAAAACAATCAAATTCCCTCCAGGAATTTCGTTAAAGGTCTTCAAGATTTAATATATACTTCCTCTATTTCAATATATTTGGTTGATTTTGACTAGTCACGGAGTTTGAGAACCTAAAGAGGACTTTTGAATCGTCTTAAACTAAAGATATGTAAAATGTACGAAAAATATCCTTTAATCTTGTGATCTTAAACAAGCCATATCAAAAGTTAGTATTAAAGAGTTGTCAAAAAGGGAAAGAAACATTCTTTTTTAAACAAACTAAAAGGGAAAGTAACACAAGCAAATTGAAATCTACTGAGTAAAGTAATTTTGACACATATACAGTATAACTTATCGACAAAGGGTGTTCAACTGACCACTCATTGTATCTGGTTATTCCACTGATTCCCACTAATGGTATACTTAGTGTAAGCGAGCTCAAAGTTTACATCTTTGGAATAAAATATCTTTTTTTTTAAAATCCAATTAGAGATAAGTTGTCCATCAGCATCATGACATATGCAAAAGGGAAAAAATTAATGGTTAATGACAGGAAAAAGTAGGCTGAATAAAAATTGAATCTTGAAAAAACCTCGTATCATAATATGAGAAAATCCTCAGTGAAAAAGATTGCTCTTTTATTGATTAAATCATTAATGACTAGTTAAAATTGAAGAATCAAAAGAAAAAAAAAATCCTATTTCTATTTATTTTATTTTATTACTTTTTTTAATTCCTTTTGAGGGAAAAAGTTGGCAAATTCCAAATTCTCTCTTCTTTTTTTCCCTTTTCCATCAGCAATCACAATGAGAAAAAGCTAAAAATGAACATCAACTCAAGAAATAGTGAATGAAACATTAAAACTAAAAATATTCAAAATCACCTAAAGATTCAATCTTTACAAATAACACATGATATAAATATAAATATATATACCAAAAAAAAACTAACCTTGGATTTTGCTAATCAAAAAGACAAAAGCTCTCCTCTGTCTTCTTCTAAGCTGAAACAAGACAACAAAATCAAAAGTGAAAAAGCACAAAATATTGTGCTGATTATATTACAAAAAATAAAATAAAAGCTTTTTATGCTTTAATAAACTGAACCCATATGACCAAAAAAAATAAACTGATATTTGAGTAAAAATATGAAAATTAAATGGAAGTGGAGTGGCGTGGGGGGGCGGGGGACAGAGCTAGAATTTTTTCAGCTGTTTTTTAATTAAAAATTTGTAGGAGTTGTGTGGGTGGGGTTTGAGTGGAAGATCCATATTTCCAACATTTGCGCATCACCCACCACGTATCCACCTGCTTCTTTTGTGTTATACGATTTTTAATTAAATATCTCGAGTTTCAATTTTTAAAAGTTTTTTTAGAAAAATATATTTTTTATCATTGTCGTTAGTAAATTGAATTGTGACCTAATATAATTTTCATATGTATTATTTGGACTCGAAATGTTTGATTAGGGTGAAGGAATTATATTCATTCTTGTTATAAATATAATTGTTTTTTCTTATGTAATCTTGATATTTTTGACTTTAGAAACATTTGATTATTATTCAATAATGAATTTTCATGTTATTATCATTCATGTTCTAGATAATTAAATGTTTCGCATTGAACTTATATTCATCAAAATAGATTATGTCTTTTTTAGCTGAGCATTTATCATAAATAACTTATTTATCCGTAATAAAAGATATATAAGTATAAATTCTACTCTTTTTATTTTTTATTTTTGAGATCACACTAATTTTGTTATTATTGTTGTTGTAGATCAATTTATTTTGTATTTGGTGAACCGATAATGTTCAAATGCCTACTAAAGTTTATTGCTCCAACAAAAATATTATGTCAAAAGTCATATAGAGATGGATTGAAAATAAAAGAGAAGTATGAAAACACTATTTTAAATATGGTGTGGATTATTAGTTTTATTCCTGAATTATTGATAGTCTTAAAAATATTCTTCTACTTGACTAACTTAACTTAAGTACACCTCGGATCATGCAACTTGAATGAAATACACCCCTAAATTTTCGTCATGTTTAGGGGTGTTTCTAACACTCCTCTCGACTTTTTTTATTAAGAGTCACATGCTCCTACAAAAGTTTGAAATTACTTGCTATGTCATGTGACAAATCAAGAATGAAAACGTATTTAAGTTCGGCTAATCAAATAAAAAAATATTTTTAAAACTATCAATAATTCAAAAACAAAACCAATAATTCGTGTCAGATTCAATAGACAATATTGAGTAGGTATATTCTTTGTGCTATATTGATATGGACTTCCACTAATATAGTTAGGTGGACAACTTTTTGTGAATGTACAAATAAATACTAAATGAAAAATGGTACATGAAAAAACGTGCATTTTGGTATCTCTTCAATATGTATAATGATGATAGCATGTAAACTTCTGGAGTAGCCATTGTTTGTAAAATTGGAGTCAATATATCAATTGTCAATGATCATGTTTCTTCAAATAAATTCATGATATATGTAGAATGGAAATTTACCATGAATTGGTCAATATTACATTTATCGTCATTTTATTGTGGTCCTACTCTTTTATATGAGTTTAATATATAAATTAGGGAAAACGCATAAATTTCCCTCTAAAGTTGTGTCGAAAAGTTAGTTACATGCTCAAACTATTGTGACGATCTATTACACACATAATCTTGTTTAAAGTGATATTAATACCCCCTTAGAATGTGACATGACAAAGAGAGTGTCTTCACCTTTCTTAAGGTGCGTGAGAAGAAAAAATTATATGTTAAAATGACGAATTTCAACACATGACACTATTTTATTTGACATATAATTATGTATTATAATTTTTAATATATTAATTATTATTATTATTATTTTTAATCTTTTTATTGGTGGCCCCAATTACTTTAAAGCTTTTTCATTTTTCTTTATTTTGAGTTGTTCTTCTTCTTCTTAAGGAATCACTGCATTTGTCGACATTGATTGTTTGAAGAAAGCACATCCAACACTCTACCCATAAAAATGAACTCTTAAAAATAGAAAGGGTGGAGAAGATGATGACTTTCATCGAAAAGTCAATAATTTTCAACTTAAAGTTCATGATTTTTCCGTTTGAACTTGCCGAAAGATTCACCGGAGAAGATCACCGAAAAAGATTCATGAGAAAGATAGTGATTTCTATTGAAAATTCATTGACATTTATGCATAAAATTCATGATTATATTGTCTAAATTTTTCAAAAGTTCACCGAATAAAATGATTTCTCAATCTTTGTCTTCTCTATTCTCCCCGGAGAACTACCAACAACCACCACAATGTTTTTTTTTTGTCTCATATCATCAATAGCATATTTGATTAATCAATTACACACAAAAAATACTAATGAATTACATACATACTTATCAAGATTTTAAAAGAATTTTACAGATCTTAAATTTTTTATTTGTTCCATCGGTCATAATGGTGTTGCCCATCGTCTATCACCGCTGCCAACATCTCTATACTTCATAATCAACTTATTGACTCCTATTTTCTCTTCAAGTTTTTATCTTTTCCTTTAATTTATGAACAATGGAGAAGAAAGAAGAAATTTATTTTAAAAAGAGATATGTATGGTGAGAGAAGGAAGATGCCCAAGTTATTAATTTTTTGTAAAAGTTAAAAAAAATATCAAGGAAAAAGGTTTTAAATTTTTTAAATAATATTATTTATGTGTGAAAACGCGTGTACTATATTTTTTTAAACACAAAACTGAGATTGTCTTTGGAAGGAGGTATTAATATCACTTTGAACAAGATTAGGTGTGTAGTAGGTCGCTACAATAATTCGAACGTGTAACTGACTTTTCGATACAAGTTCAGGGAGAAATTTATGCCTTTTCCCTATAAATTATGAGCAAGTTTATATAACTAGAATTTCATTTTAAATATACAAATAGATAAATATCTATTTGTATCAGGTGTTTAAACCAAATAAAAATTAAATGACATGTGTTTGCAGTTTGCACATAAGCTTCTATCACTTAATCATTGTTAATTATATGTATACTTTCACCCTACTAAATTACTTAACTATGATGATTTGATATAAATATTGACTTGTTTTTTTCGTATTACTACCATATCACCTATGTAAGGGTAAAATTTACAACAAATCACTTTTTAGCTCATGCATTTGAAATATAACTATTATTACGAAGTTTCAAATTTTACAAATGGGACTCAAAGAATCTTATCATTGAATACCTATATATATATATTTTGAAAAGTGATTAATGAGCGTTATTTTACCTTCGGAAAAGGGTCAAAATTGCCCATGAACTATGCGAAATAGACCACTTATACCCTCCATTACATTTTGGGATAAAAAATACCCCCGCAGTTATCCCAAGAGACCACAAATACCCTCAAGAGTTAAGACCCCAATTTTTTAGTGACGTGGCAAGCCACATGGGACTAATCCCTCCACCTAAGCATTGCCAACTAAGATTCACTACAAAAGAACTTGACTTTTAGTGGCAACAAAGTCGCCACAAAATCCCAAAATATTGCCACTAAAGGTTATGAGTGATTTTTAGTGGCGACTAAGGCTCCAACAACCATTCGCTAGTAAAACCTATTTTTTCAACAAAAAAATATGATAATTAATTTTCGATTGCGACCTAATTTTCTAAAATAAATAACTTGCAATATCCATATTAAAAACATCCAATATTATTACGAAAAATAATCAAAATTACTTCTCGATTCAAATCTCCTACTATATATATATATAATGCATCATTGTACATTTTATACATTTACATATGACATAAAAATAAAACATATAGTGTCTTCAAACTCCTACTTAATCGATATCATATTTGGTTTTTAAAAAACAATGAAGAAAAAAACACAAAATTAGAATTTAATGTTAAAAACTTTTAGTGACGATTTTTTGGGCTTTTGTGGCGACTGTTGTTGCCGCTAAAGGTCTAGTTCTTTTGTAGTGAATCCTAGTTGGCAACGCTTAGGTGGAAGGATTAGTCCCACGTGGCTTGCCACGTCAACAAAAATTTGGGGTGTTAACTCTTGAGGGTATTTGTGGTCTCTTAGGATAACAGCAGGGGCATTTTTTATCCCAAAATGTAACGAAGGGTATAAATGGTCTATTTCATATAGTTCGGGGGCAATTTTGACCCTTTTCCGTTTTACCTTTAAGAGAGCCTCAAATCACAGCCATTTTGAGTCCTGTGGCCCAATCGAAGTTATGGGCCTTTTTTGCTTCTAAAGTGGGATGGGCCAAAATGATGAAGTTATAGAATTAAGCCCACTATGGGTGTGTTTTGTATGAAGGAAAATATTTTCCACCCTATATGTTGTTTCACTTGCTTTGTATCTTGCTATTTAATTTTATCATCTTAAATTCTTCCATTTTGCTATGATTTCTTGTTTTTTTTTGTACATAATATCCTCTATAGACTCCACTTGAGGAATTATACTGATATGTTATTGTTGTTGAGTTTAATAATAGTATCTAAATGAGGTACCACATAATTTTTTTACTTGTTGATGAGTATTTTTCCATTGTAGTGAAAATTTGAAAATGAATGGTTTTGAAATTTTTTTACCCCTACTTTTCTGATAAGCAAATCTTCAAGATCAAAAGTCAAGCTGATTGAGTTTGCCAGATCGATTCAAGATTAGTCAACATCCACTTCAAGACCATTCTTGTAAACCACCCCCTCAAGCAAAAAGATGCACAATAGTAAAGACAAAATTAGGTGTATTGAATTATGAGAATGAGGTGGGTAGGTGGGGGGCGGGGGGGGGGGGGGGGGGGCTCCTATATCTTGGCAGTGTCAAGTCATTTTTCAAGTAATGGGACACTATTTTCTTCACAATAGGGGAAGGGGGAGACACAAAGAACTTGTTGAAATGTCACTATTACAAGCAAAATGTTACTATGATAGTGTGGGGGTGAATCTAAATTTAAGGCTCACCACATTCATTTGGTCCTTTCAATTGTCCCTATCACTCACTTCCTACCTTTTGACAACTCATTTTCATTTGTCAAAAAATTGAAACCTTAGCCATAGAGATCCAAAGTAGAA